TCTCTCTCTCTCTCTCTCTCTCTTTCTCTTTCTCTCTCTCTCTCTCTACTCATGGAAATTGAAAATTTGAATTTTGCCACAAAATGCCAATTACTGGCTATATGTTGAAATACGCTTATCCTTAAAGCAAAACAATTATAATTATATGCAATGGTTTTCATTAAATGCAAATTTTTTCACACATTTTACAAGCAATTGTAAATTGGAGAGAGAAAGCAAAAACTCATTTTATGCCTTTAACCATAATATTATCATTTAAGATATGGTATAGACTTAAAGATATTTATATGGATGTTATGTTAATGGATGTGTTATATAATGTTATAGTGTTGTTGAGTTGATTCCAATGGGCAATGAGAAGCACTTACCCCCAGCTGTTGGTATATTGAGGAGTAAAGGTTTGGTCAACATATCCTTCGAGTCACTCGTCGCCCGCAATGATATGTCAAGAAGTCTGGTATGAAATAAGGGCAAAAATAATTGCAATTATAGACTGGTAGGAGTAAACGTGGTGTTAATGGTCTACCTGTGCATTGCATCAAATGTGAAGACCTCGACGCTAGGCTTCTCATATTTTTCGGGTGACTATTAGCATAATTGAAAAATCATTGCATTAATTATTTCTGCTATAATTAACAATAAGTAAAACGTTTTCCATACAAAAAAAACTCTCTACTAAACTATGCATTACTTAATATAATGGCAAACATTAAACATTTTTGCATCCCTCTAATGTGCAATAAATATAATTAAATTTGTAAATTAGCTGATTATTAACCTGTGGTCGAGAGTCGTTTTCAAATGAATCGGGCGCTGAATTGGCCTGTTTTCGCACAAAACATAGCCGTCTCTTCTCACTACTTATTTTTCTACTCGGGGGCTGAGAAAAGGGTCCTGTTATACCTGCAATCAAACACTCAATTAATATACAGTATGTTTACTATTTATAGTTGATTATAAAATAATTTTACAAATTGGAAAATTTGTATTAATACCTAATAATTACTTAAAAAGTTATTGACAAATGCAATACCTGTTTGATAGAAATTAAATGGATTATAAAGTGGTGTTTGCGTCGGTGTTCCGCTCCGTGAGTTGGGCGCAGAGTTAGTGCCGACACTCTGTCGGCGCTCTTTGCGAAGCGAAGGCGGGGTTCCCTCCAGTGATCCGGGCTTTGATGACTCGTGGCTGGGGGTCAGTGTCTGGATGTGATGCGGAACGTAAAGTCTGGTCTGTGAGCCGCCACCGGAAAATGTGGGCGAATTGGGAGTCGAGGTCTGAACTAATCGCGAATATCCGCGCGAATCAAAAGAGGCCGCCCTTTGAAGCACTGATTTGTGGTCGCGTTTCTTCGGCGGCGCAACACTTGGCTTCTTATTGTCGTCCGTATTATTGGCGCCTAATATGGAAGAGCTTTTCCAGAAGCGAATCCCAGAACCCTTGTGGCCGCCCGAGTGCTGGTCGGCCGCTAACGATGCGTTGATATTATGGTACGTATGGGACGAATGGGACGCCGATTTGTTAGGCTTCGGGAGAGTGGGGGCGGAGACGAGATCGCACTGAATGGCGGCATCGCATTGCCAGGGAAAGCGCGGGCCGTCGTCACCACTGTTTATGTCCAAAGCACTACAATAGGCCTCTTCTGGTAATATGTTGTATGAGTTGGAGATCTGTTCGCCGGGAATACTCGTCACTCGTATGGCATCCGCGCTATTCTGACGACCCTTTTTGATCAATAATTCAATTAATAAACATTTAACTAAATTGCTCTTCAAATTTGCTAAAATTTCTAATTCCCTTTCAATTAAATGTTTATTAATTTTAATATAAATTAATAAATCAATTGATCATAATATATGAGAATTTAAACATAAAAGATATTTGACTAGTTATTATGTAATACAATTTCTGTGGCAACAAATTATTTTATTATGTATAAATATTTCATAAAGGTAAGTACTATGGATCTATGACATTTGCTGAAAATATTAAATTAAATTAAAGAATTAGCTAGCTAAACCTAACCTAACCTAACCATAATAAATAATATTATTTGTAATTTTTACTGTTTTACAAGCAAATGTCCGCATCCAAAATACTTTGGATACAACATTTATAAACTATTAAATATAAGTTTATTTACAATTAGTTCATTTTGTTTAAATTAAGTTCAAATAAATAGTCCACTCTTTTGAGAATTATTTACAATTTAATAAGTGCTTGAAAAACTTCTTATAAAAATTTTTAAAACTCAATATTTAAATGTTAAGTTATGTGAAAGTTTTAAATTTGAAATACAGGAAATCAAATGTTTGTCTCTTAACTTAAGAGTCTTATCTGAAACTTACGGACAAATAAAATACATTTCTTAAAACACACTTAAAATGGTGCCTTAATGTGTGACTTTCTATTGTAACTTAATTTGTCATAATATGGAGTAACTTATTATATAAGCAAATATAATGTGATGTAGTGAAGGCTATACCTGTTCGGGAAGCATAGGAACATGGCTTCTGGAGAGTTGCCGAGTGCTGTATCTGAAAGGCGGCGCCTCTCCGGTCGGTGTGGAAGAAGCGGACGAGTCTTTGAACGATAGCTCCGAATAACTCCTATTTCTGCTGAACTTCTCTCTCAGCGATTTAGTCCTCGCACTTATACCTGATTTACACAAATTCATCATATTTTGGCACTGCTTTCTCTATTCACATCTTCTTCTTCTCGCAAATGTCATAACTATTGATAAATAGAAACAAAAGTCAATTTATTAGACCGTGAAATCCAATATAGAGCAGAGTTTTTATTTTTAAAACATATTTTTCATAAATAAATTATTTTCAATGAATATAATTGAAACAAAAGTGTCATAAAATAATTGAGTATTTCATGGGATTAATGGTAATCTCAAAAGCAATGCTTTATTGTTATTATCTCTCAATTTGTTAAACAAATGGATTGTATTTTCCGTTTCCATTTATACATACTGTTATTCATGTTATTATAATATTCGTGAATAATATGCAAAAATATATATTACATTTAATTTAAACATTTCATATGTTTTATTATTGTTAACATCAATTCAAAAGGTTTTGAATACAAAATTAGCAGAAAAACAGTGTTTCTGATAAAACGTGATTATATTCTTTAAGCTGAAAACTATTATTATTATATTTTGCAGTAATTCTTTACACCAAGTATTGAATAATTTAGTATAAAAAGCCAACAAATATATGAAATTGTGTAACAGTTGTACAGTTACACCAACACTGGGTATCCAATTGAATATATGGCACACAAATATTTCACTGAAACACACAATTATTCAGTACACTATACAGCACTACACACTGTATATAAGCACTTGAATTATATTTTGTTTTATAAATAAAGTACTTTTATATATATTATATAAATTTTAAAACTCAATTTTAAGATTTTTTATATGTTTTTGAATTTATATTCAGAAATAAATATTTATAAATTAAATTCTTGACATTTAAAAAAGTTTGGCAAATATTCATTGCTTTCGCAATAGATTTCATATATGACAACATTTATTATTACGATTAATTGTCTTAGAAATCATAAGCAAATATTTTTCTCATTATGTCTTTAAAAAATAAATTTTCAATATATTATATATAGAGTAGTGTTATATTAACAGGAATTCTAAGACATTAATATTATAAAAGAGGCACAAATACACCGAAAATGAAATCCAAACAAACGATTTGCTGAACTGTTGGCACAGAATTGAAACCATCAAAAGAAAGGCGAATTGTGTTGTGTTGTGAATCCCAGTGGAAACCAGAATTGGATGAAACTCTTTATTAAAACGATGATCAATACCTGTGTTGTACAGTATATGCTATATTCTGTATATATATTCTGTGAATTCATATACGCTATATGTATAGCAAGTATGAGCTTACAGTATAGTGAGTAATGTATGCATTTTCAATGCAATTTACATGTCATACCAGTGGATGTGATTGGAGCCAAATAAACGACAGTCTCTTTAAAATTTGTTTTCAATACAACAACACAACTAACAATTAAAATGAGTTTACGAACAAAGCTTTGCATTCAAACAAAACAAATACTTTATACACATTATAGGTCTCAATACAATTACGAGATGAACTTATATATAAGCGGTATAATTGTATGACAACTATGGGCTAATACATGCTTCACTCCAATCACATCAAAATGCAATTATATAACAACTATTATGTTTATTAAAATGGTTAATATTTTCATAGTTTTCATGGCTAATACACAGCACATCATAACAGCGATGTCTGCACAAAGACTTCATATAAATGACTTTCTAAATACATTATGATTTGAATTATTTATTATTGATATAAAGTAATAGAGTATTAATATTTGTTATTACTGTTAACGTTCAGAGAGTAACACAGAAAAACTTGATGTAAGTTTGGGCCGATTTTATTATCGTTTCAATAAGAGTGACGTTTAATTTGAATTCATTTAAGTCTCAAAAAAGACAAATTCTGTATTCATTAGAATTGCAATTGTTTTCTATTGCAGAAAAAGTCTTTTAAATTTTGTTGACTCTGTTTTTGCATATAAAACATCTTTTGGTACTTTTATTTTTCGTGATGTTATCTTATTAGCGATTACTATTGTATTTCCAATTGCTTTAACTATCAATTGAATAACAATTGTGTTTTATTGAGTCCATAGGGAATACGAATTACGAGATACGGAGCCAATGGATGATCGATTAGTTACTGTACTTTTACTATAATCTATACACTATTCTGTATATAAAAACTGAGCGTTTCGTTCACAACCTGTTACACAACGACATATAAACGCATTGCCAATACATGTGATGCAAGAAAATATTTGGTTTGAACCAAAACTTTATTGGTTGAAAGCTTTCACTTATTAATACATCTCACAAATTAAACATCTCTTTCTAAACGCTTGGAAAAAAGTAAATCCCAGACATATTTGTAATGGCTTTTAATAATCTAATCACTGGTTCCTAACAATAGATAAAAGATTTTGATCGCAATTTTAAATATTTTCTTTTTTGGTAAATATTTAAATCGGTGTTAAATTACAAATTTTTATAACTCAAGTACTTAATAGAGTTAACACCTTTAATCCATATGTTATTTAATTTATATATAATTACTTTATAATTATTTAGTAATTTTTGAAAAATTTACAAATTAGATATAAATTATTTATTAAGCACTTGTTGTAAGATGATAAATCTCTTAAAACATTAATATCATGATATTTAGGCCCAAAAGTCTTTATTAGTTTTTATTAATTACTACAATATAACCGCTTATTTAAAATAAATTATTTACAAAAAATACATTTAATTAATAATTTAAGCAAATAGTAAACGCCTAAATAAATGTGGTGTAAATTGCATTTTAAGATCAAATCAATTATTCTTATGATTATTAATAGAAAAGCATTGTTATATATAAAGCATTGATTCTTAGGTGACAAAAAAAGTGTTTTAGGTACTTAAAAAGTTACTTAAAAATAGCTGAAAAGGTGGTCAAAAGTTAAGAAAAAGTTATTTATTTTGCATCAAAATAGTACATTTCAAAGGTTAGTTATATGAATTTTTTGAATTGAATTGTATCACAAAATACTTTAATTCAATAAGTAACACAAAACACAATAAGCAGCATAATCGAATGCCAATTAATTTGTAACATTAATATCCACAAACAATTCTTTCAAATCCTCTATAAAACCCGATTCTTCGCTATAAAATTAATGAATAATTTCTGCAAATCGATCAAAATATCCACTAATGACGTACAAAATCTGCAAAATAGGTGAAAAGTTACTAAAAAGTTACTAAAGGTGATAACGTCACAAAAGGTGCTAAAAAGGTAAAATAAAATTTTCTTAAAATACTCCTAAAGGGGTATATCGTGTGCCCCCAAACTTTCAGGAGGTTCTCCGCTTTCGGGAGAAAAAGTTATAAAGTTACTAAAAAGTTACTAAAGGTGATAACGTCCCAAAAGGTGCTAAAAACGTAAAATAAAATTTTCTTAAAATACTCCTAAAGGGGTATATCGTGTGCCCCCAAACTTTCAGGAGGTTCTCCGCTTTCGGGAGAAAAAGTTATTTAACTTCAAATCAATGCTTTAGTTATATACATTCGTACGGATTCTGATAAATATTGCCCAACAGTTCAATATTGTGTCTATTTTTATACAAATAAATATATTTATTCTTTATTTCTTTCTTTTCTTCTCCTATTTTCATAAGTAATCGCAAGACTTATTGAATATAAATCTATTTATTTACACAAGTAATCAATTTCACTATAAATAAAACATTTTGTATAATTTATTGTGAAATCAGAACGAAATTATTTTTTACAACATCTGATAATTGAATTTAAATCTAAAGGCATTGAAAATTTATGAGAATATTAACAATTAATTAGGGATGAAAATGTCAGTGGAATATTCAAATGAATCTTCCATTTGGTCTAAATTTTAAAAATATATATAATTTTCATATAATTTTTAGTTCGATACTTTTATTTAGCTGAAATATATAATCAGCATATTAATTTGAAAATTTATTATTTAAAATAATTTGGAAAAGTTAAAATATATTTTAAATTTAGTAAAAATTCTTCCAAGTTTATAAAAATTCTGTTATGTATTTTGAGAATATTTTACTTAAAGAATATTACAAAATAATTATTAAATAATGAGCAATAATTCTCATCAAATTAATTATTTTTGTTGGTAATAATAGTTAATTTATTCATTTATTTAGTAAATATGTGAGACAAAGATGTTGCTAATATAGAGTGGTTGAAATTTAGCCTAAACATAAAAAAATATTCTAAATATTCCATTAATTTTAGGCGAAATTAGCCCTAAACATTTCCTAAATTTCACCACTGACATCCCTACAATTAATTATTGTTATATTTCAAATAATATGTAATATTATTATAAAAATAATTATCATTTTTAATACAAATTACTGCCCTTTATTTAAAATTTAAATAATACTAAACATTATATTGTAATCATATGTTTTAAAAATGAAAAATAAAATAATTCCTAGTCATAAACTAATTCAAACCCAAATGTAAAGCGAGTGTAATAACAATATATGGAAAAATATTCTTTAATGATATAAAGCAATGTAGAAATGATCCAAAAATAGATACAATCAATATTATAATTTAGCTAAAAATAGTTTGTTTACTCAAATCAAACTAACTTCTCGTTAAAATAATTTACTTATTTTAAGAATACATAGCTTTGAATAAAATGACAATTGATTGATATTAATATAAAGTAATTTCCAACAAAAATATAACAACAGTAACTGTGAGAAAATTTAAAGGCATTAAAAACTTAATTAATTGGTATTCATCGCCAAATGTGTTGACAAATAGCAAAGAAATTTCGTTTTGAACAAAAAAGCATTCGTTTCTATAACTAAAAAGTGATACAAATTTGTCAAAAAGTAGTGTTTGTCTCCTAATGGGATAATTAGTAGTAAAGACGAGAGAGAGAGAGAGAGA